CATATTGCTTTCTTAGCATCCTTACGAGCCACTTTATAAATTTCCCAATTATCAAAATTTTTAAAATTAAACCAATTTTTATAACAAAGCTTCTTATTTTTAATTTTTTCTTGCACATTAGGATTCCACCACCAACTATTTTTACTATTGGGAGCTTTTCCCTTTGATACTCCAAGGACATGTTTTGCAATATTCTTAATATCACTAGCCACTTTTTCCCACATAATATTAACATCCTCATGCACAGACAAAATCTTAAGATCTAAAATCTTAAGATGGCTCCAGCGCACCTCGATGGGCGATAATATGCATGACTTGATCAATGACACGAGGTTTCCCCCACCTGATACATCAGCTCGAGTGAGGTTTATTTATTGTGGAATTCCGTTTCCCACGGACGCAAGCCCTCGTAGTTAATTACATCTCAGGCCGGAGCCCGATAATGCTCTCGATTAAGGATCCGATATTATTCTTCCTGAAAAGGAGGATTGGCACGAAAGGGGAGACTAGGAAATCCTACTCAAAATGAAAGAAAGAACTCATATGGCTTAGTCAACATGCACCCATTTCAGCATTCGGAGGGACTGAGATAGTGAGAAGAGAAGGAATATCATACACTCAAAACATTTAGAGAGAATGGATAATAATGACATCATCCGTATAACGCAGATAGGCAGGATTTATAGTCCCTGAAGAAAAGGAACTTACCCACCGATGAGGGCATACTACGAGACACTGAATGCAATAGCCTTGAACCCTAAATCTAATGTGCGTTTAGTGTTCTACCTAACACTAACATCCATGTCCTAGCTAATGCACTTGGCTTATATTTTGCTTGAAATGGAAAGCCAGCTAACCACCTAAGCGCATAAAATCCATATTGTCCTGACTTTATGAAAGATAGGTAGGTGGATTAGTTTTGGAAGGCCGACGTCTAGAGAGTTTCCTAATTGGCCTTGGACTTATGTAGGGTGAATGCTCCTAGAGCTAATGCAATTAAAGTTTTAATTGAATTGATTTCTAATGTGATGCATGTTAGTTGAAAAGGCTTCCAAATCAGGTATGCATAGAATTTTAAAAATATGCTTATATAAAATAATTTTTAAAAAATATTAGGTTTCCCCAAGTCCGACACCTCATCCTCATAGGTTAGATTATTCAGACTCTACCCACAAGCGGGAAAGTGTCTTATTAGAAGGAGAAGAGAATGCATTGATATGCATGCGACCCGGACGATTCCTAATATTCCCTAGGTCGTTAGATTTCTAAATTATTGAAACCTTAAAACTTTGAATATTAATTGTGAGTAGAAAAAATTTTTATCTTAGAGAGCCTTGCGCAAATCAGGCCAAGCACATGCAGGAAAGAAAAATAAAAAAAACATGCAAGTTCTATTGTGCACACAAAGTAAACACATTAATATAAATCTACAAAAAGTAAAGTAAGAAAGTCCACGGCAAGTGCCATATAAGTACAACCAAAAGTCTACAGAAAAGTAATGCTAGTCATGCCCCACCGACAACAACCTGGATTCTAATCCTAATGAATGACGCAAGTCTTAAAAGTCAGACATTTCATCTTCAAGTCTTCTTCTTCAGGTGGATCATCATTCTCCAAATCTGCTCCCTTTGGATCGTTTCATTCGGGCTCCGTACAGTCTGTCCTTCAAAAGGGTACCCAAATGATTAAGAAATTTTCTATAAAGGGTATTTCTTTTTTCTTTGGGTACCAAGTATTTGAAATGCCTCACTTTTAAAGACTTTCACAACTCGATAATAATTACATCAAATTACATTTAAAAGAGAAAATTTAGACTCAAACTCCTGCTTGGTTATCCTAATAAAAATTACAAGCAGTTCAATATACCACATCACAAGCAATTATATATCTGTAGAAAAGTAAACACGCTTGGTCACGCTCTTTTAATTTCAAAGGAGGCTAAGCAGTCTCTGGAGCATCTGCATAAAGCATTGTTAATATTAAAGCTTTAATGATTATTGCCCTCTTTATTTTAGCCCTGCACGTGCGTGGCCACCCACCTGCATAAGACTGGATTAGTATAAAAACGTCCCGAACCCATGGGCAATCTATCGCACAAATCACAACATAATCAATGTATAGAAAATATAATAAAGTAAAGCTCAATCACAATACAACAGCGCAAAGCAATCAATCAGCACTCGTGCCACACAGAGCATCACAACACAGAAGCAAAAAGATAAAGTAAAACACCGGCTCTAATCCTAGAGCTAGAAGTGGTGCCCTAGAAAATAATTCTATGTGTGTGTAATAGGCTTGTGTGGTTTTGGATGGGTCCTATGTAAGGTAGTTAGTTCAAGTTGCCTAGAGTTCAAATTTGTTAACGGACAAAAAGGGAAACTTTATTTAAAGGTCAAATATTAATGGATTGGATTCATTTTAATTAATTTAGTTTGTTAATCCATTTTAATGCTTAGGGTAAAAGTCTTAGAAGTTTAAGTTATATTAATCAATTTTGGAAGGTTCTGGGTCCTCCAATATGCTAAGCTAAAGGGGGTCCAAAAGGTTACTATTGGAAATAGGCTAGGTTTGGGGGTTCTAGCATTTCAATTAAGCATTAGGCCTTAAGGGGAGTAATTAGGGTTTGAGTTTGTTGGATTTGGAGTTTTTTAAGCCAAGTTATGAATTTTAGAAGTTTCGTGCAATTAATGAATTATTAAAATTAGTTTAATTAAGAGCATTTTAGGGGTTTTGATCCAAATCAGCTCCAAACTGATTAGAATCACCCCCAAAGGTCAGAAATGTCCTAAAGAAGTGTTCCAGAAACATTTGGAATTTTAATAATTTTTAATTATTTAATTAAGGCCAAAAGGTGAATTTTAATCAAAATTAAATTTAGGCTTAAATTAAAGCCCAATTAGAGGGGCTTAATTATCTATAAGGTTAAGGGATAAACTTTGAAGAGTTTGAGGTATTATGGGTAATTTTCTGAGTTGAAATGGATTTATTAGAATTTTCTGAAGTTTTTGGGGCTTAATTTACGGGTAAATTAGGGTTTGTTAATTAAGGGGTCTAAAGGGTCCTAAAAATTCTTAGAAAATTCTATGAGGTTTATGATGTCACTGAGTTTAAATGGTGAAAGTTTCATGCCCGGGATTCTATCATAGCTCATAAAATTTTTCCAAGTTCGCTAGACGGACCCTTAATTGTTGTCCTTAGGGTGTCGCTACGTTGAATGGGTTTAAATAAAGTGTTTGAGACTAACCATTGAGGTTACATGCAATAAATGCATAAAAATAGTAAACATACAAATCCTAAGATTTATGAGGGCTTAAACCAGGTGCTCGTGCGTCTTATATAAGCAAAAAATGATAAAAGAAAAAAAGTAAGCACGTTTATCGATGCGTTTAGTGGAGGATTGGAACTTAACCACCCATTAATCACTCCCCCTTGAATTTTATTCATGTGTACATCCCATGTTTAAAATTTCACGGAGTGGATCTCCCAAAATTAAGAGATTTAAAATATATGTAATTTTAAAATAATTTAAAAATACATGTAAATATATAAATTTTAAAAAATAATGTAATTAAAAATAAATAAATATAGGGTAGATCCACTGGCCATCTAAGAAGGTTTCAAAAAGATTTGAAAATAATTTTTAATTTAAATAATTATTAATTTAAATTTAGATAATAATAATAATAATAATAAAATAATTCTTAAAAAAAATTTATTATTGGAGGTAATGAAATATGCATGGGGTGATGTTTGTTTAGTTTAAAGCGCTTTACGAAAAGCTAATTAGATCTATGTGTTTCTAACTAAGGTTAGGGATTCACCTTGATTTAATGGACGGTTTGACCCGTTTAATGGCTTGTTGCATTTGTATATTGTTCACGCTCCTTTTTGTAGAAGAAATCGTGATTTCAAACTCTTTAAATCAACGGGAAATCCCCTTAGAAGTTGCCTTGCTTCGGTTAGCCGGAGATCTCGCCGCCGGCTGGGGCTTGATGACGGGTTTGGCTCGGGAGAAGTGGAGAGGGATTGGAAGAGCTCACACTCATGAAAACTCGGCTTGGGGGAGCTTGGAGAGAAAGAGAATCCAAAAAGTCCCTTTAGATATCCTAATCTCTCCTATTTAAAGGCTCAAGCCTTTGATGAACGGCTAGGATCACTCCTAGGGCTCATTAGGAGGAGAATCAAGGGATTTGGCCGGGATTTGAATGAGAGGAGCAATTGGAATGATTTTTGAATGGATTTAAGAGCTCTAATTTGACCTAAAAATGTCAAATTGACCTATTTAAGATTTGGGTTGACCAAGTCAAGGTTTGACTTGGTCAATCTAGTCAAATAGGCCAAAGGGGGTGAGGGTTTGAGTCCAAGTGATGTTTGAAATTGAATTGAACTTGAATTGACCCAATAGGGCTCAATGGGTCAACTTGGGTTGACTTGGTCAACCAGGTTGACCCAAGACATGGGTCTGAGCTCAATGAACTCGGTCTGACTCATGGAACCCAAGGGAGATGGTCTTGGGGTCTGGCTTGGTCAATTTGACCAAGTCAACCCCTTGACCCAATGAGTTAAGTGAAAAACTAGGTTAACATTGACCATGTTGACTGGGTCAACCCATTGACTTGGTCAACCCAAGTCTCCTTTGGCCAAATTTGACCTATTTAGGTCAAATTCAACCTTTTAATTGCATTTGAAGCTCTCTTAATGCCCCTTGGTTTAAACCACGACCACAATAGTCTGGTTTCCCTCCTATTTAGCCCTAATCATGATCCTAGTCTCCACCCTTTGTGTCAATCTCCTTCGGAAAGCATAATGTCGGATCTTTAATTGAGAGTATTCTCATGCTCCGGCCTGAGATGTAATTAACCACGGAAGCTTACGCCCGTGGGAAACGGAATTTCACAACAAATAAACCCTACTCGAGCTAATGTATCGGGTGGGGGAAACCCCGTGACACTTATCAGATCATGCATATTATCACCCATCGAGGTGCGTTGGCGAGAGCCGCTATCCTCAATGGTTAATCGTATGTATGATCTAATCTACCCTCCTATTTGCCCGCTTGTGAAGAGCGCGAAGGCTTGCATTCGTCTCGCCTCTCTGGATGGTGCGGTCGTATACCCTCTACACTTTGTCCCCCGCGCAGCGAATCCCTTTCGGAGATCCATAGTTATGTTAGTAAATAATGAAGTTTAGATATTAAATATGTATATGAGATAGTTTTGAGTGTTATGTATGTAAATCCCCCTATTTTTTAATTATTAAGTCTTATGATTATAGGAGGGGGTAACGAAATATACAATTCAAGAAAAAATATTATTATGGTGGATCAATTTCGTTTTACGGTAACAAGAACTACTATGGAGGCATTATTTTGGTAAAAAAAATCAATGCAAAACTATTGCTAGCAAGGAAAGGATCTTTATATGAATTTTGTTGATATTTGAGAAGGCATATTCTTTAGTTTCTAGACAATCGATTTGATGCATATTAAGAGAAAAATTGTGTCAAAAGTTTGTTAAACTATTCGAAGTATACATGATGGAGTAATGTCTAGCATTAAAACAAATTATGGTGTAATCAGAAGACTCCCATTCATTGTAGGATTACATGAAGCGTTGTATTGACTATCAAGAGGCTAAAAAATAATATTTAGTGTGGGAACCTTGATTTCTGCTATTCATAGATTATATAGTTCTAATGATTGAAATAATCATTATGAAATAAGTGAAAAGTTAGAAAATTGGAGTAAATTTGTATAATATTTGGGTTAATGGTCATAAAAGCAAAGGCCATGCGTTGCATACAATTTTACTTTGTATGAAATTTAGAATTATATGTTAAATTGTTGAAAAGATCAATTGATACCTAGATGTGATAAATTTAAATATATTTGATCAATTCGAAGAATGGGAATGCGGATGGGATATAACTTTTAGAATCAAAGCCGAGGTGTTTCAAATGCATAATAAGATAGTATTATGATGATTTAAAATTAAATCTTATGTAATTACATTTAGACGAACAATGTTATTTGCATTCAAGTATCACGCGATAAAGAATTCATTAATAGCCTATTTAAGTTTGGAAGAAAGGAGAATGCTAAGCTAGATGTGTTACAAAATTAGGAAGGTTAAATTTAGAAATAACATAGTCTATATGCAAGGATTGTCATATTGGTCAATAATTTGATTGATTCAAGTTACAGTGGCATCTACATTGAAGAATTGTCTCATTTTATTTCTTCAACAATTCTTCATTCTAGGCTGTAAGATTATCATCATAGCCCTCAATTTTTTATTCTAGTCTTTTAAAACTTTATTTACATAATCCATTCAGATCAGTTACAACACAATGATAAACGCATATGCCACCACTGGACTTCACAGTGAAGCTGAGAGTATTTTCAAAGACATGAGAAGAGATGGTCATTCTCCTGATTCCATTTCATATCTGGCTCTACTTAGAGCATATACTCAGTCTCGCAGGTACGGCGATGCCGAGAAAGTTATTAGTAGGATGCAGGAAGCAGAAGTATCTCCATCTTGTGCTCATTTTAACCACCTCATTTTTGCGTTCGCCAGAGAAGGCTCCATTGGTGATGCTGAAAGAGTTTATAACTTAATGAAGCAAACAGGTTTAGACCCTGATTTAGCTTGTTGTCGAACAATGATGAGGACATACATAGATTATGGGTTAGTCAATGAGGGATTATTTTTCTTTGAATCAACTAATGGTATGATAAAGCCTGATGGTTTCATCTTAAGTGCTGCTGTTCATCTTTATGAACATGTAGGGAAGCCAGCTGAAGCAGGGAAAGTTCTAGATATTATAAATCTTGAGGGGTTGTTGTTCCTCAGGAGCCTAGAAGTTGGATCAAAGCTGAAAAGATGACAAGTTCTTCTCTTTCCCATTCGCTATCAAAAATCTTGCACTTGGTGCCAAGGAATAGATGCAATGATCCTGCATGAGGTAGAACTCTTTGTTAATCGTCTTTCCAAGTTTCTGCGATTAATACAACACATGCTTCCATTGAGCTTGGCTTAGGTGGAATGTGACTGCTTTTATGAAGTTGAGTATTGTTTAGGAGAAAATAGAAAAAGAAAAACGCCTTAAAGATAAGCACTGCCTCTGCACAAGTTTGCGTTTCATTTGGGACGGCTTTCTTATTGCTTCTCAAAGAAATTTTTTTTAGTATAAAAATTTTCTTTTTTGTATTTGAAATCTGCTTTAAGCAACAGCAAAAAAGATATCCCAAACGAAGCGATCTGAGACTAAAATGGTGTTTCAAATATATCAGCTGGCATTGTGGATGTAATGTACATTGAAGAGAGAAAATCCTAAAAGCAAAATAGTTCTTCAGGAAGTTCAGATGAGCATTGTTTTTTGTGTTTCTTTGTGAAATATAAGTGTAAAGGCTGGTAATTGGTTGAATTATTAAGCTCTTTTTTTTTTCGGTGTTATGTATTTATGTTCTAATTTTCATCATGTCATCTTCATAGACCTCTAATCTAGGAGAAATTATTACATGCAGGGTTCGAACAACATTCGGATTCTAATCAAGTAAAGACACTTGAATTTTTTTTTTCCCTCTTGTACATAAGATGTGTACAAGAGAGAAAATTCTTGTATCCTCATCTGATTGAAGTCCGGACGAAAAATTATATCCTGACTCCGCACGTAATAATTTCTTCTTATCTATGGTGTATTTGGTGAAATAAGATCTTTGCTCTTATTCTTTCAATGCCCTGCTCTGAATTAAGGAGAAATTTTTTATAAATGCTAAGTTGCTCATTTAATTAGGGGATACAACTCAGTTATAATTTTCTTTTAATTTATAGAAATGTTTATAATAATGATTTGCCTTCCAGCAATTTGGGGAGCTAAATATAGATGCTACATGGCTAATTTGAAAGGTGATGTTATGGGCTACATGGTTAGTTCTCTTCTAGCTTGATTCTTAATAACATAGAAGCTTATGCAATAACATTAGTTCTCTTCAAAGAGTACATATATTAGCTTTATTTGAATAACATTGGCAAATTTGGTGGTGTTGAATATGATTAGAGATGGGAGATTAGTATGTTATATGATCATTTTAGTCACAAAGTATAATATTATTTCAATTTGATATCTCCTATGTAAAATTGATTTAAAATAGTTTTTAAATTGGGATTAATTTTATAAAGTTGAAGGATTAAATTGAAATTTATTTTATATTTTAATTATAACATGAGGGATTGTTCTAGATTAATTTTATATAGTGAGGGACTTAATTGTATTAATGTGATATTTTGGAACTAAATTAGTCATACATGAATAATGTGAGGATTATTTTTATTGTGTGGTAGAAAATTTGAGCTGGTAGAGTGTGATTTACATCTTAATGTTATACAAATATTTAACACGAACAAATAAGAGTAGCTAAACCAGAGATTTTTTTACGAAGAAAACCCGGAAAGGGAAAAAATCACAAGACTTAGCTCAATTGCAAAATCCACTCTATAATAAGTGATATAAAGATCTTCCTTTCTTAACTGTTGAAAAAGAAGAGTATAGGATATCAAATATGACAGTTAATACCTCACAAAAGGGTCTGGTTTTCTTTAATAGGGATTACGGAGGTTCATATATTATTTTTTATGCCCAACAACAAGGTTTGATCTTCCTAATAGAGATTACAATTGTCCACATATAAACTTTTATATCCAATAGCAAGGTTTGATCTACAATGATGATGGTGATTTTTAGCGGCAATAGCTGTGATTATCGACGATAATAGCTAGTGGTCGTCGGCAGCAACGATAGCTGGAAAAAACTAGAGAGCTCCTTGGTTTTCTTTTTTTTCTTCCTTCCTCTCACGTGAAGAATGAGGGGTTTATTTATAGCTTTTTGAGATTGATATGCCTAATAAATATGGAAAAGATCTAGAGCAATTTTGGAGTGTTATATTGGACTGACTCATAGTAATCCCTTTGATCATGGAGTGTTTATCAAACATTTAAATGCCCTAGAGATGTCATAATTGAGTGATCTTGGGTTCGTTGGATTCTTCTCGTCAAGACGCTCGATTCAACTATAAGCATGTCATATTTGAATTTCAAATATGCTTTGATCATTTGATTTGGGCTCGAACTGAACCAAATTTGGTGTCGTTTGATTCATCTCCTTGAGATGCTTAATTTAATTATAAGCTTGCTAAAATCAGAGTTTGAATTGTCCTGAATTTTACTTTAAAATTTTTCAATACATATTTGCATCAAGATTCATGTTAGATGAAGACAATTTTTTATGACGGATCAATTTTGAAAATTTTCATTTAAACAAGCAATCCCATTACAATGAAATTAATGAAATCATAGCTAATCATATTTATTATATATTAATATTTCAGATACTTATTAATTAATAAATTATTAAACTAATGAAATATAAATCCAAATTTAAAAAAATTATTCACCCTAATTAAGTTTCATTATTATCAATAATTATATTAATTAAGACTAATAATTAAAACTAATGATAATCTGCTAGTGTTTGTCTATGCTGTGCGTAAAGCACTAGGCCTGTCCAGTTAGGTTCTGTCTACTAACTTCTTTCAATTAATATTCCTCGTTGCCATTTCTTCATTGCTGCTTCAACTTCACGTGAAGTGTATTTGCTCTCTCCTTTTCGAGGAGGCCGACGGCGCTCGAGCTCGCCTTCGGCCGGCTGCCAGTGAGCTTAAGCGGATGGAAGAAGAGGTAGTTGCGGCACCTTTCTCCCGCATCGGTTAAATCCTCCCGGATTTAATAAATTTGGGATTTAGGGCAAAAAGAGGGAACGCTATGAAGTGATGATTATACGGTAATTTAACTCTCTCTTTTTTTCGCGTTTGGTAGATTTTATCTCAACTGCTGCTTAAATCCTGCATCCAAACACCTGCTTTAGATTTGTTTAAAGAAGAGTGCGATATAAGAATTTTGATTAATTAGTCTGTATTACACAGCTCTCAAAGCAAATCAAATGACTGAAATTCGACCTGCTTACATTAGGACTGGAAATCGCTTAGGATGAAGAACTGAAATTCTATGATGCAGTTAATTGCAAAAATCAAACAAACTTGTTTTTGAATGAAGAACAAAGAATCATAGGGATTTTTTAGAATCTTATCACAACACAATAAACGTGCACATTAGTACCAATATACAGGAAAATAAAGTCTGAAGAATTATGATTAGCAGGCAATTCTAAAGCATACCAATATAACTAAATTGTTGTAAACTAAGATGACCAAATATTATCATGTAGCACTGCAGCTCAACAAAAGAACAAGATCACCCAAGATATTATTTCCAGCACCAAGGTCATTTGTGCCCTCTGAAGTACAAGTAGATTTTCTGCAAATAAAAAGAAATCTCATGTGTCATACAAAGAATGATTTTTTGGTGGGGAAGGCAGAATAATGTATAGTAGCAGATCACAATTTAATATCAATAAAAATGCAAATGTCTCATACTTCTTTAAAAAGTCATATACTACATATAATGTAAAAGTTTCACTCTTAAATTCTCCTGAGTTTATTTAGAACTTTTTTCTCCCACTACCCAAGTTTGGGGTAAATAATTTTGCCTTTCACTTGAAATCATAATTTTACCACTGACCATTGCTTAACAAACCTGTTATGCTCATTGCAGTCGACCAACAATGAAGTAAGAATTTAAACACAAGTAAAAACAAATCAAATTAGATTGCTGATTCACACGGTATTAAACATTGAATGCCTTTCAAGTTCACTTTTAATCTAAACAAGACGAGGAGAATGATCTTCCACCCCTGCAAAGCAAATCTCGTTTCCCTTGTACTGACAGCATAGTCATTTTCTGGCTGAATTAATGAGATTACAGGATTGTTTGATTTAATTAAAAAAAATTTAAGATAACATTGAAAGCTAATATTTCACTTTTTTAGGACTTTAAATGATATTTATTGGCTTTGTAGACAGCAATTATGTTAACCTTATTTTAGTGTGACACTGTTTACCTGCAAACAACCGCTTCTTCATCAATGATAATATTATTGTCTTTTCAATGCTCATATTTGTATTTTTTTTTACCCACTTTAACTAGTTTTTTTAGCCTTATCCAGAGCACACATTCAAGACACCATTATATATATATATATATAATGACTTCGCCACTTGAAAGAAGATTAAGATATGATTACAACTCAAAAAGACAAATCATTTGCCTTAGAAGAAACAAAAATAACCAATCTAAAGAGTTTTAATTAGAGTTCACTTACATTTTATTGAAATTCAACATGTTTCAATGTTTTCATTCAATCTCAAACTTTATTAGGATATTTGGGTTGGTGCAAGCCAAAGATATCATACCCAACACCGATTTTATCAACGCACTCAAAATCATAACTTTTGGATTTATAACTACTTAATCATAGTTTTTATAGCAAAATACATCCTGGAAAATCCGTAAGAACCCAAGCCAGAGACCAATTAGCCAACTAGGCGCCTGAATAAACTAAAATTATCTAAATCAATCATTATATTAGCTCAGAAAGTCAAATGAAGTTAGCATTCTTGAATTTGCCAAACCATGTCGCCTGAATAAGTTGGTCATGACAAACCAGCCTACCATTGATCAAACCAAATAGTCATCTTCATTCCATGGTAGGTGTCCAGACAATGGGAGCGGTGTACAGAATGCTAATGATCCAACAAGTATAGAGCTAAATACTAGCAACCTCATTTCCCATAATGACCTCAGTATTTGTCAACACTCTCCTCATCTCCTATGGAAAAAAAGCCTTAGGAACTTATTTGAATTATTGCAAACACTATAATCAATCTCCTCGCAGTACCATTTACTTTGTAATGCTTCACTTGGAATGAGTAAGAGTTTTGTATTTTTCTTCAGTAGTGATAATGTCCACTTTTTTCAAATATGTGCAATGAAACTTCTTGAAATTTTCCTCATTATTCCAATTAGAAAACATTTTTACTGTTGCCATTGCAAGGATTGCAATGTCACCCCATCCTTTGGTACCCTCCGCTCACCAATTGGACATGTTGATGACACCAATTGACATGCTTTCCCAGCTCGAAGTCAAGTTTGAGGGAAGGGATTCTTCACTTTGCATGAATTTTAATTATGTGTGTGATCCTCTTCATTAGTGTCAAATATACATCAACCATATTTCAAAAATCCCTAAATATTCCTTGCCAAATCTACAAATATACTAACATTATAGTTTTTATTCTTTCTTTCTTTCTTAAGAATCTAGAGAAAACTCTATAGTTTGGAAAAATCTAACTTCTAGTTATTTTCCATATGGATTCCAAGAGTCATATTCCAACTTCTACGAGTCTCAGTACAAGAATCAACTTCTA